AAGTACCCTCAAGATTCTTTATGGGGTTCATATTGAACTACACCATTCTGTACATTGCTCAAGAGAGCTCTGAGCAAACAGTGCGGTCAGCTTCCACTTTTACAAAGTATCTGGGGTGAATTAGAGACAAACATAATTTTACAATTTGGACTGAATTATATTACCCTTTTCTAGATTTATTTTCACAGCTGCAGATCAGAATTCACCAATCAACTTTTTTACAGGCACACTATGCTGGGGCATTTTTTTTCTGCTTTATTGTACTAGTTAAGTGGAATATATTACAATAGAATTGGTGCTAAGAAAGTAAACAGGGTGTGAGCAAGCAACCAAAAAGTGGTTTAACATTTCTTTATCTGAACTGAGCATACTGCAAAGGAGGCTGTCCTCTCCTTCTTGCACTATAGAATGGCTGATCTGTCACTAGTATTACTGCAGCATACTTCAGCTGTTTGTTTTATGGAATCTATCTTTATCTATATCAGTATTTCTCAACCTTTCACAGGAGGCTGAGCGGTGCCGGAGGAGAGCGTTGTGAGTGTCCAGCGTCTCTCCTCCCACACCGCTCAGCCTCCTGTGAGAGATCAAGAGAGCGGTGTGTGGGTGGAGTCACCTGTCAGCTCAAGATCTCCTCCCTGCCATGCTCGCTCAGCTTCCTGTGACAGCCGATCCAGTATGGAGAAGGGGTACAAACACTAGCCATCAGTGTTTGTAAATAATTGAGGACAGAGAATGTGTCCTCAATTATGAATGAATGAGAAGTGATCTACATCACCTCCTGTTCATTCATGATTGTGGTTATAGTAAACACCTTCTGTACACAAGTTATGAATGAACAGGAACACTCAGTAAAAAAGATTCCTGTTCATTTATAACAGGGGCTGCAGAAAAAGAGATTGAGGACTCTATGTCCTCAATCTCTTTTTCTATTTTAAAAGGGAAATATCAGGGGTCTGTTTAGATCCCTAATAATTCCCCCCGGAGAAAAAAAATGTTCGGTTTCGGCCTGACATTTTTTTCATTTCGGTTTCGAAATTTTCATTTTGGTGCACCTCTAATTATCTTCCTTCCCTTTTAGCCTCTAATGGTAGTTGGCTTGCTTATTACAACTTATATTCAGGGCTACAAGATACAGTGTAATTCTTTTCAATATTTTAGTTAGGTAAATATGAAATATTGCATGAACAAATTGCATGCGGAGTGAAATATTGGTTTTGACTATGGGTCAAGATTCAATTGGGGAGATTCCCACTACTTCCTGTTGGGTCACCTGAGAATAAAGTAAGGGGAAATCTCAACATAAATACAACTAATTGTTTAGTAGAGGGAGAAAGTATTAAACCCTGCTACAATAGTTTCAATCAAAAGTGTTAAAGGGTTAAAACCACTTTGTACTGCTAGAAATAAATAACCAAATGCATACACAAAAATATGCATACTATCAGGGTTATTCACAAAAGGGTGAAGAGTTTGGAGAAGGCAGGAGAGGTGAACAATCTAGGACAGTGGTGGCGAACCTTGGCACTCCAGCTGTGCCAAAACTACAAATCCCAACATGCATCTGCCTCTGGGAGTTATGTCTGTGGCTGTCAGAGCCTGGCAATGCCTCATGGGACTTGTAGTTCCAAAACAGCTGGAGTGCCAAGGTTCGCCACCACTGATCTAGGACAACATAGCTGATTTGAAAAGGGAACTGAATTGGAGAATTTTTCCAAATCAGGTATTTTGGCCTAGATTGTTCACCTCTCCTGCCTTCTCCAAACCCTTCACCCTTTTGTGAATAACCCTGTGAGTTGCGGTGTGTAAAAAGTCCAAAATCTAACAAGGATGGCAGCTTCCAGTCACAGAGCCCCACACAAGAAAACAGAATGTGAGTTGGGGATTATGCGCATAACACTCTTGGTCAAAAAGTAGAGGACCTGGCGTCCAGATGTCAACAATGCGTGCGCACCTCTGACGTGCTGTGTTAAAAGTCGCCTTTGAAGAGATTTACTTTCACTTTATGTTAAACTGGAAGCTCACCCTAGAATTATCCTATGAACATTAAACAGCCATATAACAGATGTACCTTGATAAATGCATAGCACCATGTTTGATGTCTGTCCGCACTGTGGTTGTCCCACAATCGACATTGGAAGACTGATAGCTATTATTATAAATGACACCATGCAACCCACTGTGTTGCTCAGCCCCCCATGCTATCTACATCTTATAATTGCAAAGCCTGACTGGGTAATGCTTCTTCTGACCCCTAATGCTGTCAAAGACGTAGAAACCATAAGGGAAGCTGAACAACACAACTAAATGGTTGTCAGTTTCCAATGCTGATTGCTGGACAATGAATCGTGGACAGAAGTTAAATTTGGTACTATGCATTTGTTACGGTGCATGTGTTACATAGCTGTTTAAAAGAGAACTATGGGGTATGTGTTTTTCCCCATAGTTCTCTTAAAGGAGAACTATGGGGTCAGTGTTTTTCCCCATAGTTCTCCTTAGGGTAACGGGAGGACACAAGCTAGTGTTCTCCCGTTACCCTAAGCTCAGTATACCGCGAGCTGCAGCTCGCGGTATACTGAGACGCCGCAGCCGGAGCGGATCCTGACTTAGACAATGGGATCCGCCCAGCTGCGTGAGTGACAGCTGGCTCTGCCTATCTAGAGGCAGAGCCAGCTGTACCCGCCCCCTCCCCCGTCCGTTCCGCCAGTCAGCGCTGGCGGATCGGAGCGGGGAGGGGGGAATCCAGCCCCTCCCCTGTCACGGCAGAGAGCCGTGACAGGATCGAGAGGTGAGCGAAAGCCGGTATGTGTTCGCTCACCTCCCGATCTACTGAGCCGACCTGTGACAGTCTCATTGTCACAGGTCGGCTAGAACTATGAGGTGAGTGAAAAGCACTCACCTCATAGTTCTCCTTTAAGGGTCACGGGAGGACATATACTTGGATCCTCCCGTGGCCCAAAGCTCAGTATATCGTGAGCTATAGCTTGCAGTATACTGAGACCGCCGCAGCCGGGACGGATCCCGACATTACTGTCCACCCACCCAGCTGCGTGAGTGACACGCAGCTGTACCCACCCCATGCCCCATACGTTCGTCCACTCAGAGCTGGAGGATCGGAGCGGGGAGGGGGGATTACCTGCAGGGAGCCATGACTGACAGTCACCGGTCTCTGCAGGGAGCTGATCGAGAAGTGAGCGAGCGACTGTATGTGTTCGCTCACTTCCCGATCTATTGAGCCGACGTGTGACAGTTTCATTGTCACACATCGGCTCGAACTATGAGGGTGAGTGATTTTCACTCACCTCATAGTTCTCCTTTGATGTTCATAGAGAAATTCAAAGGTGACTTTCCACTTTAACAGAAAGTGAAAGTAAATCTCTCCGAAAACAACATTCTCTAGATAAAGCATCAACCAGATCCTAACATCAACATAGCATGTCAGAGGTGCATGCCCATTGTTGACATCTGGACCCCAGT